ACAGACAAAAGAAAATTATAACAAACAACGTTGTTCTCAACAGTTAGGTTATAGTATTAACAGGAAGCTTTTATATTGTGTTTTATAAGTAGAGGCGCAAAAATTGTCAATGGTGCTTAATACTATGAAATATAAAAACAGACTCTCTAAGCCATGAAAAATCAGTATTTGAATATCCAAAACTGAATGGCTTCTGTCAGAAGCTATAAATACTCTGAGCTTGAAAGTCTCTATTTAATTCCCTGCAACACCATCGTCACATACAGTGTGCAGTGCATCAGGGGTTACGGTATGAATGTGTCCACCTGCTCCTTTTCAAAGACACTGCTCGTGTAGCATTATGAAGATGGCTTCTCCTTGAGACTTGCCAGACCAAGGGTGTATTTGAAAGGCTTGATAAAATAGACAAGGCGAAACACATCTGCAGCCTTAAACTCCCCAGAACAGACGGTGTGCTTTTGGTCCTGGGTCCCGTCACACTCCTCGCCGTTTACCTTAGCTGGCTAATTGACGATTTGTTAACACAGCATCGCCTCCGGAGGCGCTGCCCAATCGTAGGGAGGGTCAGATGCTGGGGACAGGCCAGTAAGGGGATACAGGGAAACCATGTGACACAAATCGCCTCCCACACAAAGCAGGAAGCCCAAAGCATGAATGTGCACCGCTAGGAATTCGTTATTAGGGTCCGATCCCAGGGTTTACTGACACCCCGATACAGCAGGGAGGACGGTGCTGGCATCCGAGCCTCCACATGTCTTCCTAGAGACCTCTTTTGGTCTGTCCCTGTTTCTCTCCTGCATTCAAAGATAACCTATATGGTACCACAAAATAAAATAAAACACGATGACCCAACTAAGCTCTAACTCATGGCCATAATGTTCAGAGAACTCATAGGAAGAGGTTCCCCCTCAGGGCTTTCAGTGTAAGTGGTTCTTCTTCAATGGGCATAATTGCCAGCCAATTTCTGTATAATAAGAATACTTTCCATAGATCGTACTGCATCTGGCAATACAGCCCAGCACAAATACATTAGTAGGAGCATTTGAAGCACAAATGAAGTTCCTCTGCCCTGTAATGAACTAGCATCCTGTCCATGCTGCTCAGGATGTGCTGCACTGGAAAGCGGTACAGAGGATGGATGGATGGATGGAGAGATGGATGGATGGTGGGATAAACAGACAACACTCCTGCATTCCTGGGCTATACTGTAACAGCTGAAGCTCAGTTATTTATCATGATTCATATTAACAACTTGAGTATGTACCATATAACATACTCAAGCATAAATGTGCTAATCTGTTAATCTACAAATCTGCGACACCGATTTTGAAATCTGTATCATTAATCTGTTGCTTGCTAGAGCGGCTCAATAACGCACACAGGCCTTTCAGGCAACATGCTCAGTGTTTGTGTGGGTCTCCTCTACCCAGCAAACATGAGACATCCACCTGACATTCAGATTATATCTATATTGCATCAATCAGTCCAGGACCATATCTGTATGTCTGCACAACGTGCAAATCATGTTCAGTATTTGTGCGTCTGACTACGTCCCCCACTGGACGTAGATAAGCAGTTCAATATTTGAATATCTGGCTAGGAGATTTCTTTGGACATCTGTGGACGTGAAAGATGGGTGTAACGTTGGTCATTGGACATTCAGAAGATATCATAAAAATATGTCACAATGTCGACAAAGACGTTCAAAAGACGTATTTTGGATGTTTCTTTGCTCAGTAGGTGGGCTCCTCTCCCCAGGTAAAAAGACAAGCAGATCATGTGAATTAGTGACTACACTGCTCTTGTGGCTGAATGTATGCACTTCTTTACACAGGGTGTAGTTAGAGTATGGAATAGTCTTCCTCTTAGTGTAGCTAATACTTTGGATCCTTTAAATCAGAGCTAAATAAGATTTTAACAACTTTAAGTTATTAGTTGAGTTCTCCTCAAATGAGCTTGATGGGCCGAATGGTCTCCTCTGGTTTGTAAATTTCTTATGTTCTTATAAAGATTTTTTTACAAAGCCATAAATTCAAGAAAGTGATGCATAGGGAAGGAGGAATGCCAATCCTAACCTTAACCCTAAACCCCCTTCCCTAACCATAAGCCTAACCCTAAACCCCCTTCCCTAACCATAAGCCTAACCCTAAACCCCCTTCCCTAACCATAAGCCTAACCCTAAACCCCCTTCACTAACCATAAGCCTAACCCTAAACCCCCTTCCCTAACCCTAACCCTAACCCTTCCCACCAGAATACACTCCAATGCAGTGTTTCCCAATCCAGTCCTTGGGGACTTACAGGCAGTCCATGTTTCTGCTCCTTCAGGATCTGGGAAGGAGCAAAAATGTGGACTGTCTGGCAGGGAGCTTGGAGGGAGCAAAAAGATGGACCAACTGTGGGTCTCCGAGGACTGGGTGGGGACACACTGCTCTAGTGGGATACTAGTCTGAGAGGCAGAACCACAAGATGGCATGAAGACAAAGAGAACCTGCAGAACAGTCTGTGAGTATGCTGGGTGCATTTCCACAACAGAGCCTTCTCAACTCTGCTATTTAAGATGGAAAAGAAATTCTTTGTCATGAGAGTCCTTCAGAAAAACCTCACAAAAATATGCATTTGAGAGACTTAAATTCAATGATTGTGAGCGCAGCTGAATGTGAACCATTCTCTATGGGCTGCAGCACATCTATCCTAGAAGACAAGCGCACCATAAAATTTGAGATATTATGCCATGCAGTTGATCAACTGTTCCTTGCATATACACTTCAGTGTTTCCCTATACGTTTACAGCTTTGGGGGGGGGGTGTTCATGTGTTTCTTTTAATGACAGCAGTCAATATAACAACAATATAATAACTGCATCGTTTAAAAAACGCAGATATTTTTGACTGCTTTTCAGGTGGTAGATGCGACATATTTTCCGACGCGCTCTCTGTGCGCTGGTGGGAGTGTGCTCACCTGTGTGTGCATCAGGGCGGAACTCCGCCGTGCGCAATACAGAGAGCAGAGGGCGGGAGGTGCCGTTGGGGGGGGCGGGGCACCCCCCTAATATAATGGTAGGGGAAACACTGCAGTTATTGAGGTAAATTGCCCTGGGCAGGATCATGTGACACGGGACAGGAAGAAGGAACAGGAACTTTATTCTGAGAACGAAGTTTCTTCTTAAGGTGAGAGTAAAAAACAGAAGCTAATTTGACGGCTGGCAGAGGAACACCTAAAGTGGCCCACTCTACAATGCCAAGGCACCAGCAACCCCTCCCTACAATTCTGCACCACAAAATCCCCAAAATAACACATTTTACTAAATTAAAAAATATTTATATACACACTTACACAGCATCATCATATTTATTTTATTTGGCAGACACTTTTACCCAAAGCCTGCTAGTTCCTGGAGAGACTGGGGTTAAGGGGTTAAGGGCCTTGCTGAAGTGTCCAACAGTGAAATCTCTGTAACCCACTAAGCCTCAGACCGCCTCCACAACTACTGCTGCTTCACAACTCATATGGAGCCATCGCTCTTACTAACAACACAAGGTGGCTGAAATGGCAACAGTTAAAATTCATCTAAACACTGCTGTAGGTCTCCCTTATCGCTGTAAAAATTGTTCGGCATTTTTTGCCCAGTGTTTATTCAGAGTGAAGGTCACTCTTTTCCCCCCAAACTGCCAGCAAGTTCAAAGGCAGCTAACCCGGGATACAAGTGTCCATTCTGAAAGCCTTCTCCCCCTTGCAGGCTCGCATCAACAGCTGCCTCCATCGAGATCTCGTCTGGCAACCAAGCTCCGCATGCATAAACAACAGGGTGGATCATGTTCTCCAGACCTCTGTGTAGCTTGCAGCCAGGCTTGCACGACAGCTTTGCATCCCATGTAAGAACGCATTGTTTTCCTGTCCAAAGCGATTTCCTCCTAGTCTGATCCCCGGCATGTGATTTTCCTCTGACTGCAACACAACAGATAAACACCGCACAGCAGTTCCGGCTAAGGGCTTTGGAATGACGTCACACAATGTCGCCCTGGCGTCGGGCCAAGTCGTCCCAGCCCATGATCGATGGGCACAATGACTGGTGCAGTGCGCACAGCTGGCCTTACCCCCCGCATTGGAGGATCTGGGCTGTCAGCATTGTGCATGTGAGCTGTCGAGTCAGCTCCCAACCTCGAACGCACTCCCAGCCTCCTGCACTCCGCCCTACACTGACACGACTTGAGAAAGCTGTTACGGGCTGGCTGTGCCTAATGCCCTGCAGATTACGCGTGTATCGTGGGATAACAGGATTTGCAGAATTACTAAGGATCCTACGAAATCAGTCCCACTGGTCTGCGCTTAGGTAAAAGGAGGGATGTGTGGGATGTCACAATGTCAATATCGGCCCCTGTGAGCAAACACCCTGCCCCCCTTCTCCCAATGACACACTGCCCCATCAGCAGTCCCCACAGAGTAGGAAGCTAAACATGTGGCCTGTGACCGGACTCTCCCACTGCCTCAAGCAGGAAAGGGGGGAGCTATTTATATCTGACTGTCCCCTTTCCACAGCCGGTAACCTTCATCTCTCTCAGATACAGTCTTCTGCTCGTGGTACGCTCTTCCGGGACGGAACGCAGCACAGCCACCCAAATCACGCAGCTGCACGCCCTGGCGCTGACTCCGTGACCAGGCTGCCGTAACCTTCCGCAGAACCGGCATGGGGGTTACGGCCACGGACTGCCGCGCCGTTCATGAACGCGTCTCTGCGTGCCCATCCGCGAAGCCTCTGCTACACACTGACGCATTACGGAGCTCCACTTAGCTCAGAACCGGGTTCCGCACTTGAACGGCAGCTGTCTTACTTGTTAAGAGTATTGGATTATAGCACTGAGCCCCAAGTGGGCACTCAGGTTGTGTAGGTGCCCTGAATCTCATAACTCCTCCAAGAATGGCACAGAGGAGGGCTCCTTACACGGAATAGTGGTGCCATAAGCTGTCGCCAACGCCGAAAAGGGTTTCGGGGGCACTCACCCATCGGCAATCCCTCGCAGTCGGACATGATGGGACGATGGGAAAGGAACTTCTCGTGGGGCAGAGGATTCCCGGCACAAGCTGCTCTCCGTGACCTGCTGCAAGCGGCGATGCACTTGGCCTGTCGGAACTGGTACTGGTTCTTCCGCTCTGGGCCGGTCCTGGCTGTGGGATGCTAAGAATGCATCTCAGAGGCACTTAGCCAAGTTGCTATTGGAGGATAAATTTGTTTGCTCTGGTTCCCCTCCCTCTGTTTGTCCCTCCCTCCCTCCCTCTCTCTCTCTCTCTCTCCCTCTCTCTCTCTCCCCTCCCAACCAGGACTGCTGCTTCATTAATGCTGAGATCAGTAACTCCGACCAGCCAAGAGCTGCCAGCAGCTAAAACTAATACCACCCCACTCTAACACTCCAGGGACACTAGGGCCCAGGGGGCACCAAGGCAGGGGAGCTGCCTTCAAAACAAAGGAGATGCTGCTCTTTCCTGTCCCAGCCAATGACCACCAGCGGGTTTGTTGTGATGGGGCAGCGTGTCAGAGTACATAGGCGGTACACTGTCAGAGGAAACTGCGTGCAACGGCTGCTGGATGTTTGATAACCAGGGTTGTTTTCACTCTGCTGGTGTCTGTCACGCAATGTATCTCAAAGGCAGCATCGAAGGGGCCTTTTCTGGACTGAGTAAAAGACTTTGAAATACCGCTCTATATGTAAAATACCTACACTTTTAATTTAAACATGGACAGAAATACCAGCAATTTGTTATATATCGAGAAATAACATGTCTACTAAAAGAAAACACTTTATTTCAATATATTTTTATCTGTTCTACAATGATGTACAATACAGTTCGTTTTTTGCAATACTGTACACTGATGCTGACATTTTAACTAAACTACAGTTTTCATCCTAGTCATTTTTCTGTGACACCAAACAGAGAGATTTTATTTGGAAGAGAAAGTTACTGAGTTCTACTTACGCATTTAGCCCAGTCATCCACTGGTGTGAAACAAAACTAGGTCAGATGATGAAAAACTTTTCTACTCAAGGATGTCGAACTTTGCTCTCCTTTCTGAGTCCCACAAACGCCTGCTGCTTCTCTTGGAATTTGGAGATTTCTCCGGTGTTGGTGTAAACACACGTCAACACCCGAGAGATGGCAGTTATGGATATCAGTCCTGCACGGGTGTGTAGTGCATTTTACAGAGCTGAGAAATGGGATCTTTCTTGTTCTTCATAAACTCCCCACATCACAAACTGGATCACACTTTGGATTTTTACAAAAAACTAATCAAATGAAAGAAATTGTTTATTATGTGTCATTAACGAATCATGGAATTCATATATACTGCCACATTGCACTGTAATAAGGACTTGCAAGAACGTCATTACAAGGGATTTTCTCCTCCATTACTGAAGAACTTCCCCACTTGGTCCCTGGCCAAAAACTTAATTCTCAGAAAAAAGAGGAAAAAAAAACTCTATACCAGCTTAATGGTATGATGCAGTACTGCCGATTCTCTTTTGCAAAGCTCTGTTACCTTTTATGGTAAAAAAAAAAAAAGTTAATTAATTCCCTTCTGAAGGTCTGGCAACTACTTATATGAAGCTATAGTCGCATGTTGTGCATAGATATGGTTGAACCTTGTTGTGTAGCCGCTGTGTGCTAAAAACTCCCAACTGTGCGCTGACACATAAAAAACAGCATTAACATCTAAAATGAAAGAAATCTGAAAACGTTTTACGTACCTGATTAACTTATACAGCATATATTAGTAAAAAAAGAATGAGGAAGATTGGTGAAAATGGTGCTTTGGGTTTGGACAATAGTAGCTACATATTTTCTGTATTTTTTGTAATGCGTACATACTGCCCCCTCGTGGATTAAAAGTAAAGCACCACATTTCCCTGAATTTGTTTATCTTTGAAATTCCTCCTTGTGAAGGAGAGATAAATACTCCCTTCCGTGTTACAACTATTTACACGAGTCATTACTGCTGTGTAAAAGACGTCTTGTAAATTAAAACGAGTTAGCAGACCTTACACCCGTGTTTAAAATATTCACGTTCACGCTGGAATTTTAGTAAACTGTCCCCATAATAATTCCAAGTCAGTTTACTATACGGTACACTTTGTCCTGGCGAACAAAAGCAGTCTGTTAAAAGATAAGTTTATTTTATCCCTTAGACGGTATGTTGTTATGGTTTCTGGCGCCGCCGCAGTTTAACATAAACACCGCTGCTCTAGTTTTAGCGAAGTACCTAAAAAGCATCCCTGGCTCTCTGCGGTTGGCAGTTTACCTAACATACCTAACATTATCTTAAAGAAAACCACTTTAAAAAGCCAAACTGCTTTCATCTCTGTGGCCTGTTTCTTGCGCTAGTAAAACGCTCCAGGTTATATGTCATATTTTATATATCTGCGCTCGCGTTGTGTAAACGATTTTAAGTAATATACGCATGACATCTTTTCAAATCAAATAAATCAGTAAAATTTGGAGAAAAAAATATATATTGTACTTTAACCCAGTGCTTTAGACTAACTTCTTCCACTCGCAGCCCAGCTGGCATTTCAGCATTTATTCACGGGTGAATCAAGATCATGGACTAACGAATCACTGTTGAATCCTCATTCGAGTTTGAAAATCAAATCGTTGATATTGCCGCGTTGTTTTATCGTTCTACTTTTCAACATGGATGAATTAAAATATTGCCTTAATGTTAAGTTAACATTGAAATATTAATTTTGGAAAATGAATCACCGTTGAAAGTGCAGCTCAGGAGTCTATCCCAGACAGCATGGGGTCCAGAGAGGCAGGAGAAGACCGGGGCCAGAATGCCAGGCCATCACAGAACAGACACAACAAGCGAATGTACCTGAGTCTGTCTTTGGAAGGACTCACACCGGATGATGATGGATTTCATACCCCCCCAAGTCAGCAGCTGTGAGGCAACCATTCTGTCCACCCAGCTGCTGAAGTGGAACCGGTGATATAGCATTAATGTAATGCCTATATAGTGTGGTACTTTATTTCTTCAAACCAATGAAGTCTCAAAATTTATTAGGAAGGAAGTCATGGAGACTATATTTCGGCCTTTATTATGGATTTTAATGCATGTTGAGATAATAAAAGGAGAAGCATGAATATAATAATATAAATGTGCCATAGAGAACAAACAGGGCCTGTATGTAAATGCAGGGATACACACAAAGACACATCTAATACACTAACAGCACCTACAAAATCTGAGAACAAGCAGGAGACTGAGGCATAGAACACTGACATCTACAATGACCATCTAAGCAGCAGGGCAAGGGCAAGCACTTATATACATTTAAATGGGCTACATGAGGGACAGGTGCTGATCATAACAATTAAAACTGGGAGCAACAAGATACAGATGAAGGTCATCACCACTAAACATTCAGGACTCAAGCACTAGGAATGGGATGGCTGGCAACACCTGCTGGCCGAACATGGATGACAGACAGGACAGGGCAGGGACTGGTCCTGACACTTGTGAATCTGTGCCAATCATAATGCACTACAGGTCTAATTAAAATGAAAGACAATCACATAATCAGGCTTTAGCTTTTTAAATGTGGATGAAGAGTCAAAGCTGTCTGATTTCGAAGGCTCCTTCAAATGCGGCCTAGAAATGTGTCCTTCTTTGCCCACCCCCCATGCGGAGGGGCACTGATGGTAGCCTAGCCACAGACGGTCTACAGAAAACAAATGTAAGTGAATTATATGCTAATTTTTGGAATCTAAGACTTTTACCTATATAATGCATGTATTTACAAAAAGTTAAATTCTTTTAGATTTCAAAACTAAAAAACTGGAAAAAACATGCTGAGGCTAAGTGGAGTTACTAAATTGCCCATAGGTTGGCATGTGTGAGTGAATGGTGTGTGAGTGTGCCCTGCGATGGGCTGGCCCACCATCCTGGGTTGTTCCCCGCCTCGTGCCCGTAGCTTCCAGGATAGGCTCCAGACCCCCCGTGACCCAGAAGGATAAGCGATTTGGAAAATGGATGGATGGATATGTGTATGACTACAGTTTGCCTTTGCATATTTATAATGTTTTCTTTTGTAACTTTTGCAGCTACAGTAATAAAATGGAACAAAGATGCAGCCACAGAGATGATCAAACCGCATGCTCTTAAGATGAGCATCCACTATCTTTTCTCTGAGGTCCAAACTTATAAATAATAATAATAATAATAAATAAGTTACATTTATATAGCGTCTTTCACAATCCCAAGGTTGGTTCATCCCAAGTGGAGGAAAAAAGAATCAAGCATGATGAAGTTACTATTCACAAAGAATGTAAGTGTGATGCCTCTCAATCTTGCCTTTAATTACCATCAGCTCTGCTCTTTTCAGTCTATTTATCAGAGTGTGGCGCTAATTGATTGAGCCAATCAAGTCTTATAGGGTTCACTTGTGGTTTGATTCTAGAATATTTAACTTTACTGCAATGCAAATTCACATGGGGCTAATCATTTTGACCACCCCAATTTTCAATAAAGTTGTTATACAGCAATAAAGAAGCTGTTTGTTAAATAAAAATGTAATAGTTGGAGGTTTTTACATTGATAAATGTTTGAAAAAATGTCATTAAGTTTGAAAAATGATGTTGAATTTAGATATAAATGTAGGAAGGTCCCATGTCTCATAGGGTGTTAATAATTATGACCTTACCTGTGTCTTTGCTCAATGGGAAGCGTAACAAGATCTCGCCAATATGTTTCCTTTAAGCAAATTCAGCTGTATATACTGTAGTTGTGTGCACTGACACAAACAACCCATTAAACAACCCATGATTTTTAATTTAACTGACCTTAAGGTTCAATTAAATTTAATATTTCAAAAAAGTAGCCTAAATTTCTTGATATTAGGTAGTTCAACACGTGTTTGTTTTTAGTCAATTGTAAGTCATAATACACATTTTCAGCATTATGATTGGGTCCTTAGTACAAACATATCCCTGCTTTTTAATAGTGAGATATTCATTATTTGGTTGTATTCAACCTCAATATTTAAAGTCTGCTACCAATGTAAACTCCATAAAGACCTGTTCGATTGCTAATGCAAAGACACAGGGAAGCAAATAGCCTTTTGTTGGTTCTGGGTCACAAGTGAATTATTTGTGATAATGATGCATAATTTATTGCATTCCGTTTAGCATTACTAACTTCAGCTGTCAGAGTTCAGCTCATTAGGGACATAGCGGGTGTCCCATCCACCAGCATTAGCCCCGGACCAGAGGCCTCGCAGTCCCCAAAGTATCCCTGCTGGCCTTTATGTAAATGTCGGAGCCTTAAGCTGTCCCGAGACACCCCCTTCATACTCATTTTCTGCTTGGTCACACCCCCGATGTAATCGACTGCTGATACATTTAGCAGGATTTTGATAAGGTATCAGCAGGAATATCCCTTTAACCAGATCTTAAGATAAAACTGCATTCGGGTCAGTTCTGCACCTATTGTGCTGGAGTGTAAATATATAACAGAGGGCAACGGTCGGTGGTGGGATTGTCATTGATGACGGCGAACGGCAGGGTGTCCTATTCAGAGCAGCAGCAGTGCCAGCAGGGTGCTCCCAGCAGGCTCTGTTCTGGGGGGGCAGGGGGAGTTGCTGCTTTGTGAGCAGGGCTGACATTCACTGCCCCCAGCTTTTTTGTCTCCTCAGGACTGCTGACAGTCCGCTCTGGGAGTCTGATTCCATTCCACTCCTCAGTCTGTCCTGAGAATCCCCCGGAGGCAGAGCCTCGGTCACATGGTGTGACACGCGTACAAATTGTATTATCCCCCTGGGGAAGGACAGGTCCTGCTCACTGACTGGGATCATTTTAATGACGGGGTTGGGGGAGGGCTGGTGCGAGCCACGTGGTGCAGAGCAGGCGATGGAGAGCTGGGGGGCGGG